ATTAAGAACTTCAGTGTGTGTTTCTCCCCAATACATGTACATGTAATTAAAAGGATTTTGTTTTTGTTTTCGTTTGTTTGTTTTTTCTTTTTTTAGAACAAGGGATATGTTATTGGTAATCTACCAGAATTGGCCATGGCACATAATAAGTTTGCCAGGTAGGTCGACAGAGTCACATAACTAAAATTATTGCAACAGGTGTGCTCAGTCTAAATATGTTTCACAAACTGTGTGTATCCATTTTGCTCCTCTGTCTACCAGTCTGTGGGTTGTCACAGGGGTCTGTGGGTTATAAAGAGTTGAGGGGTGGGGAGGGGGGGGAGGGAGGGAGGTGCATTTGGGTAGTTACTCTTACAGTAAGTGTCTTTTGAGAACATTCAAAGCAAAAGGTAGCATTTAGAATCATGATAAACCTTATGGAGTCATTTTACATTAAAAGCATGAACACGTTACTTTGGACTGATGCTCTTCACTGGCTATGTTAATGTTAAAAAAATTTGGCATGTTACTTTAGTGGTTGAATTTTGGTTCAAAGAAATTTTCTTCTGATTTGCTTCAAGCCATATTTTTTTGTTGTTGTTTGGGGTGAGTGGGTGGATTTACTTGACTTGTTTGCTCCATTCACACCTCCCCATCTCTTGAAATCAAGTGTACCCCCCTGTGTGGTCTAACTTAGGGCATGTCCACACTTCTCCTCCATATGTACAGGATACTTTTCTTAGTTCTAGACTAAGGACTACTTAAGCCACATGTACCAGTCACTTTCTTTTATTTTGTGCATTTTTTTTTTTTCAATTCAGGCCAGAACCTAAACTTCTGCCAGAGAAAACTAATGCCGTGTCCACTGGTCGTGCAATGGAAGCATTTCATTTTGTCAGTTATGTACCCATTAATGGCCGACTTTTTGAGCTGGATGGACTCAAACCATATCCAATTGATCATGGTACAGCACTTTTAGTATGACATGCCACATTTTTTCCCTTTTAATTTGACATAGGTACAATATTTTTTGACAGATTTTGGGCTATCCCTTGCAGA